TGCCTATAGGTAAAGAAGTAAAACATATACTATACAATGTAATATTACTGAGCCATAAAGAAAGGATGAAATATTGCCATTAGCAACAACATGAATGAATGAATCTACAGGGTACGATGCTAAGTGAGATAAGTCAGGCAGAAAAAGATAAACACAGTATGATTATACTTATACTTGGAATCTAAGAAAAGCAAAACCAGTGAGTAAACAAAACAAAATAGAAAAAGACCCATAGATATGGAGACAGTCTAGCTGATGGCTGCTAAAGGGGAAGGGGTTAGAAGGATGGGGGGAAATTTTTAATTAAAAAGAATACCATTGTCATTCACGACATCAATTCTAATCACAGACTTTTTCTCTGCCCTTGGGAGAGAAGATTGTAAGAAAGAGCCCACCGCATTTGTGTGCTTACTGGCTGGACCATTATACAAGGGTGGTTAAGCAGACTGGCTGGGAAGTGTGAGAAAGTCATCCACCTAGCAGCTGTCCCTGCCTGAGCGGTCCCAGGGATAAACAAGGGACCCTCTCCAGAGATATCTGCTGGCATCTTATCTTCATTCCTTTCTGGAAAAAAGATAGCTACCCTTGTGAAGAATGTGTTGCCTTCCACACACAACTGCCAAAAACCCAACTGTAGGCAAAAATCCATCTGACAAAACCCCTTAACTGCTTTGATTCAGTTCTTAAAGGAGATTAGTTGTTGGGAGGTCACAGAGAAGCCATCCCTACTGCTCAGCGTAGCTGGGGTTTCAAAGCTCTCACTACTAAGGGAGTCTCCATGGGCGAGGCCCCTTCCCTTCCTGCAGGTTAATCAATGAATCAACAAATAGTTAGTGAGCAGGACTTCCCTGGGGTGTGCCGGTCTCTTCAGAGGTGCCTCTCCAGTTCAATAGCAGCAGAAAGAAAAACAGAGTTTTCTGACTCCTCTTAAAGTTGCCTTTTATAAAACCAGAGCGACATAAAAAGACCGTGGGTCTCAGGTCCCGCTTTCTCTCTTCTCTGAACTTTTTAGACTCACAAAGGATAAAGGAAATGCTGTGTAGCTGAGAGAATGTATAAGAGGTAGAAGGACAAAAAGAAGAAAGAAAAGGGAGAGGAAAGACAGGGAGAGATGGGAGAAGAGAAGTAAGAGGGGAAAGAAGGAAAGAGAATCAGATGTCTTTGAGTCCAGGAAGGTCAAAGGTCACAGCGTGTGTGTGTGTGTGTGTGTGTGTGTGTGTGTGTGTGTGTGTGTGTGTAGACAATCCTCTCTAGACCTGTCTCCTTGGTAGCATACAACCTTCATGTTACTTGCCTGTTAATTAATACTGCTCTTTAGTGTATACCATTATCTTTGAGAACAACTGGTAACCACTGTTTTTAAGCTTTTAGGATACATGTAATTATGAATTTCTTATGCCTTTAAATGTCCTCCTGCTGTCTACTCAGGCAATAGGGTCATGGATAAACTGTGCGTGCTGCCTCAACACCCTCAACAGGGGTGAGGAACCTTTTTTTCTGCCAAAGGTCATTTGGATATTTATAACGTAAATCGTGGGCCATACAAAATGATCAAATTAAAAATCAGCCTTCTCTATTTGGCCAAACATTTAATGACCTCACCTAGAATGCCTTGGCAGGGCCAGACCAAATTATTTCACGAGCCTTATAAATCCAGCAGGCCAAACATTCCCCACCCCTGTGTAGGACAAATCTTAAATAAAATAATAATAATAATTTTCCTAAATATTTTTTGTTTAGAAAAAAATTACATGAAAATACACTGTCATAAGATACTAATTTGGCTTTTAATTAATGTGTTAAAGCACTGCACAGAACAGGACCATGCTATGACCTGAACTGTCTTTGTCTGACCCAATACTTATGGCAGGTCTCTACTTAACTACCTGTTTCCTCAGTCAAAACTAACAGTGAAAGTAACAACAGTTTATTAAGTACTTATGAAATGCCAGACATTATCTCATTTAACCCTTTCTCCTGCCCACTGGGCTGCACTGTCCCCTCAATCTGCAGCTGAAGGTATGGAAGCTCCGAAGGTGAAATCACCTTGCGCACAATCCCACACACAGGGAGGTCCAGAGCAAAGACTCCAACCCATGTCTAACTCCAGAGAATGCACTCCTAACCATCCTGAGGCTGACACCATTCTGTTCTTCACCTTGGAGAAGCAAAGCCAGGGAAAGTAAAAACAATAAGTTTTCTTATAATTTACTCAAATCCTCGCTTAAACTTTGTATTCCCACATTAGCTTCAAAGTACTTCTCCCCCCGCCCACACCAACATGAATTATTGGAGCTTGTTTTTCTGTTTCTTTTTAGTAAGTGAAGATATTTTCTAAACAACGAACAAACCAGGAGGCCCTAGCTAACCATGACATTGTGAAGCATTCTTCAGTCTAAGCATGCAGTTAGGCATGCCAACATCTAAAAAGCTTAATTTTTTTTAAAAAAAGTTTTACCGTAAGTACTATGTTAACACTTACATGTCTAAACAAAAGTTTGCTAGAGTCTGGCCAGTTTGGCTCAGGTTGAGTATCAACCTATGAACCAGGAGGTCATAGTTCAATTCCTGGTCAGGGCACATGTCCAAGTTGCAGGCTTGATCCCCAGTATGAAGTTAGCTGATCAATGATTCTCTCTCATCATTGATGTCTCTACCTCTCACCCACTCTCCCTTCCTCTCTGAAGTCAATAAAAATATATTTAAGACAAACAAACAAAAAATCCAACAGTTTGCTAGAAACAAGTCCTAAGAGTTGATGGGGAAGGGGGTACTCTTACAACTAATGAGCTTCTCAACTATAACCCTCAAACTTTTTCATGTGCTGACTGAATTTATTATAGCTGCAGTATTGATAGGAAAAGAAATACCTGAGATCCTATTCTTCAGTATGTTATCTGTAGATGTACAATTATGCATCTTTTGAGAAATATCTAGATGTTTGAAAGGAGGTAAACATGAACGCGTCATTCTCTCTTGCCGCATGCTGACACGCTCATTGGCATCACGTGCTGTGCAGGCGGGGGAATGGCTCAGGAGAGCCGTTCAGGTCTGTTTCACCTTGAGACACCACAGGCTCTGCTCCCAGGGCCTGTGGCTGTCGGAGACTGCGATTCCCAGCCCCTCTGCTCCTGCACGCTGAGTACCAAGCAGGCCAACCCTCCACAGCAGGCGTTTTAGGTCTCCTGCCTCCTCAGTTTGATGACTAGAGTTTCTTCCCCAGTTTCCTTTTACTAGACTGGTGTCACTACCCAGCAAACCACAGGTGAGCACTTAACACAAATTGTTCAAGGTTCTGAGCTGAAGGCCAGTCTAAGAGCACAGTCATACCCGCACGCAGACAGACACCATGTCTCCCAGGGAAAGGCGCATCCTGTTGGAAGGCCTGGTCCGTGTAGAAGTCAGCAGAGGTCTGCGCGGATGAAAGCGGTGGGGTTGGGCGCTCATTACCATATTGCATTACCATATTGCAGAAGTTGCTTGGAAAGCGAATAACGGTTTTCAGAAAGACTGAGATTCAAGTCCCCAGAGATTTCAAAGGGGTGAGAAAAGGCAGCTGAATATGTAAAAGCTAAGGGATGAAATTGCCTATTCCTCTTCCTGCAAAGCAAGAGGACCACTAGCCCACAGCTAGCAGGACCTTCCAGGAAGAAAGTCCTGGAGTCCCCTGGTCCCCTTTCTGTTTCTAAAATAAAGCACTTACTGTGAACATCCACAAGTTCCCGCATTTTGCCACCCTTCTCCGTGGGAGCAGAGAATGGGAACGGCCAAGTTTGCAGACCTAGCAACTTGATTTGGTGGGAAATGGGTATGTGTTGGATGGGGGGGGGGGGGGGGGGGGAGAGACACAGAAAAGCAAGACTTTCCCTTTAAAACTGAACAGAAGCTGCTACCACATCACATGACCTTTTACTGTAATTTCTATTAAAATCATTTCATGTCTGGTTGCCTCTGCTCTCCGGGCTCATTTGTATTGTTTACAACGAGTCGCTGCATGGGCGGTTAGTGGTGGCTGGATCCATGGTTACCCGTGTTCACACTCACTAGGTAAATGGAATGCAGCTCTGCTCCAGGTTACAGAGAGCAAGCTCTTAGGAAACCACAGTCCAGCTATCAATCAGGCTAATCTGAGAGAAATTAATCTTCTGGACATCGGTATCGGCGCATATGAAAAATTGATAGAAAGGGGGTATGCGTGGGCTTTTCTGGGTTGGAGTTCCCAGAGTGGACAAGCTGAGCCTGGACTGAGAGTCTCAGGATAGTCAGTCTGTGGTCAACATCTGACAGCCCTTCACATTACACATCTAAAAAGCCTTCCAAGTATGAAGACCATCCTTTAAAACACATCCACCACTCCCACCCACATTTGTGTTTATCACACCTGAGTGTTCTGAGGACCGAGAGAGAGCACCTCCATACAGGTTTAAGCAGACTGCAATCCCAGCAAGGAGCTCACACAGAGGCATGCAAGACAGCAAAACACCAAACAGACAGCGCTGGGTAGAGATCAATTAAAGCAAAAATCTCAGTGGGATTTAATGTACTCTTTCTGAGTAAATTAAAACTGCAATCTAATATGTTTTATTCAGAGCAAGAGCAGTACGCATTCCTTCAATTGCCCGTGAATCTCTGTGATTAATTCCTTATAAACATTCCCCCAAAGCAAACTTGTTTCTGGAGATGGACATGACTGACACTTTCAACCTTGTAAACATGGACAAGTTGTATAATTTACTGCCTGCCCCCCCCCCAAATAATCGTCCCCCAAGTCACATTGCAAAGCCAAGTGAGAACAGCAAATAGTTAAAGCTAACACGCTACAACCCCGTCTACTGCAAAGTCACTGTATCAGAAGCTACAATTGATTTGTTTCCTCAGGACGAATTGAAAATGAATGTAACGTAACGTCGGAGGGAGCCCTCCTGCTCTGCTAATCGGATATTGTATAAGGGTTGATTGCAGCCCAGCCCTGCACTATTGCCTAAATCGCACATACTCACACGTTCTGGGTTCTTCCAAGAGTTTGGTGCAGTTTCAAGGACAAATGTCTTAAGGAAGCCTCTCTCCCGTGCAGCCAGGAGCCTAGCTGGGATCTGATGACAGGAGCATGGTGCTACATCTGACAAGCGAGAAGCAAAGTTCCTGCGTGCAGAGGAGGTCTCGGACAGTCTCGGGGTGCAGGAGGCTGCTGGGAATGTGCCGGTTGGTCTGCTCCCGGGTTGTGTGTACACGGGAGCAGCTGATCCGTGTTTGCAGCCCTGCAGAAAGGAACCTTTACTGAAAACCAATGGCATCACATTTCAGCGGGGCCGGTGCCAAGTGCTGGAGAGCAGACCAACCTTTGACAACTTCACACAATTCACCCGGGCAGCCTCCACCCCCAGGCGAGGGGGGGGGGGAAGGGGGATGTGTCCCCACCAGGTCTCACCTCCATGGGAAACCAAGCACAGCTACCCACCCACAAGCCTCTGGTGATGCTGCGGTCATTCCCCGGGCTTATCTTACATGCAGCCCTGACCTCTGCCGTCCTGACCTCCCACGAGCCATATCTTCATGGGATTTAAAAACTGAGTGCCCATTTCTAAAACACATTTCTCTCTCTTTTGTCTATAAACCCTCAAATCCACACGACACTAATCCTGTGTTGAGAATTTATGACTCCCCTGACATTCCTCACAAATACATTGAAGAAAAAATAATTTAGGGATGGATAACGTAGTACCCAGGTTTTTTTGTTTGTTTGTTTGTTTGTTTTTTAATATATTTTTATTGAGGAAGGGAGAGGGAGAAAGAGAGAAACATCAATGATGAGGGAGTATCATTGATAGGCTGCTTCCTGCCCGCCCCACACTGGGGATCCAGCCTGTAACCCTGTAACCCCGACATGTGCCCTGACAACAAAGAGAAACATGACTTCCTGGTTCAGAGGTCAATGCTCAGTCACTGAGTCCTACCAGTCTGGCAGTACCTGTACGCTGCTTCCAAATTTAGAGGCTGGATTTTTAGCCTGACTGTTTGATTGGGGACCATTTTCTTATTCTTTATGACCTTTATTAGTAGAACCGACTAGAATCCCAAGACTATGGCAATACTAGGAACAGTGATACAATACAGGACATGATATAGGATGTTCAGGAGTCACCCTCTTTACCACCCTCAATATAAGGGAGAAGGAAAATTCTTGACCTTGCCAACTCATAAGAGACAGAGGGGGTGGGGGCTATTGGTTGCCATAGCAAACTCGATCCCTGTCATTGCTTAGTCACTTTACTTTCTGTGTTCCTCCCTGCCCTTCCTCTTCCTTCCGTCCCAACGACAAGTCTAGGTGATGGTCTATTATATGGTATTTTCTCACGATTGTGCATTTCACTTCAAAGGGCAGAAATCAGAACTGACAGTTTAACAAAAGGCCACGTTCAACGTGGCAGGCATCACAGGGCCATGTGCTTCCAATTCTCTGAACGCCAGCCCAGGAGCTGCCTGCACAGCCTGGGAATTATCCCAGGAAGGCCTTGGCTCACCTTGGGGCCTATTGTTCAAAAGTAATCATAACCCTTGACATCCCAGAGCTCACAGAACGTGAGGAGAAGACTGGGCTCTGGTGCCAAATGGGTTTAGCTTCCTATCCTGGCCCCACTACTTGCCACCTGTATGAGGTTGGCAGTTGCTTCAAAGCTCCAAACTTCTGTGTCCTCAGCTATTAGATGGAGACATGGCAGCTACCATACAAGATTGCTGTGAAGATTTAAGGAGTCACATACGTCAGGGGCTGGCCACAGTGCCTGGCACCCATGCATTTAAAAACATTGGCTGAGCCTCCTCTAGGAATGGGGCATGGTGCCAGACACAGGGGAGGGGGTACAAAGTCATGTGAGACACGGCCGCTCCTCTCAAGCTCTTGGCCCCATGCGAGGTCATTCCTCCTTGCCTCCCGGAACTTGTGTAGTCTCTTTCATGAAGCACTAAACGCTTTCAAATGCCTTGACTCATCTCATTCAAATACTTAACACATGGCCACTCTGAGGGAGGATCCAAGCAGATTTTTGGATTTGCCTTTTGAAGATATATTGTCTGTACTCGCAGCCCAAATGTCTTGAATAATTGTTGACCTACTGCTTCATTTTATGCTTTGAAATGTAATCCATTTCTGACGGAAGAATTGGCTAGATATTTATCAGTGAATGAGACATTAAAAACAAGAAAATATTCTAGAAAGAGATCAGTCTAGAATCTAGAACGTGGAGTTCAGCTCATGTAGTACATTAATTAGTGCTGTTATATCCTGGAAATCTTTTTTTAATGGAATTTATATTATTAAATATGAGGATTTACTGCCAAATAAGGAAGGATTCCTTCAGCCTTAACAAAAATCTAGGAAATTTAGATAAATATCAACACCTATGCAGAAGTGCAAGGGACAGGCCATGTTTGAGACAAAGAAAACAATTATTCAATATGTTGTTTTCCTTTTCAGTCATTCACAGGTTTATTTAGACAAGCTGTGGCCATCTGTAAAGGAAACTGAACATGCTCTTCACATATTAGCATCACTTAGGTTAGAATTATCAGGCTTGCTGCATACTATTTCCTGCTTCCTCCCTAAATAAAGTAATATGTAAAGTATCTAGCACAGTTCTTGGACCATAGTGGACAAGAAACAGTCCTATCAAAGACCTCTCTGAAGCGAAAACAAATAGCCTAAGACTTGGTCAGCATGGAGAACTGGTTGACCCAATGATTTTTCCTCACCACCTTCAACTACAAGTAGGTTTACAGTTCTGAAACAGAGTTTATTCTTGAGTTACTTATTATTGTATTACTAGAGGCCTGGTGCACAAAATTAGTGCATGGGGGGGAGGGGGTCCTTCAGCCCAGCCTTCATGTTTCCATTCTGGAATCCCTCTCATAATCCAGGACTGCTGGCTCCCAACTGCCCGCCTGCTTGCCTTCCTGATTTCCCCTAACCGCTTCTTCCTGCCAGCCTGATCACTCCCTAACTACTCCCCTGCCAACCTTATTGATGTCTAACTACTCCCATGCCAGCCTGGTCACCCCTAACTTCCCTCCACTGCTGGCCTGGTCCTCCCCAACTGCCCTCCCCTGCAGACCTGGTCCCCCCCCCCAATTGCTTTCCCCTGCAGGCCTGGGTCCCCCTAACTGCCCTCCCCTGCTGACCATCTTATGGCAGCCATATTGTGTCTACATAAGGGCAGCCATCTTGAGTGTTGGAGTGAAGGTCAATTTACATATTACTCTTTTATTAGATAGAATAGAGGCCTGGTGCACAGGTTGAGGCCAGCTGGTTTGCCCTGAAGGGTGTCCCAGATGAGTGTGGAGGTTCCCTTGGGGCCTGTGGTGGCCACGCCCCCAGGTGACCCAAGTGGAGGCCCTAGGATCTGGGATTTATTTATTTTCTGTAATTGAAACTTTGTAGCCTTGAGCAGAGCCCAGGGCCAGCCAGGGGGGGATGAAAAGTTTGGCTTCCTCCATCGCCAAGGAAACCCAAGGCTCCTGCTCGCTCCATGGCTGCAGCCATTTTTGTTGGGATTTATGTATTGTCTATAATTGAAACTTTGTAGCCTTGAGCAGAGCCCATGGCTGGCCAGAGCAGGCAGAAAACTTGGCTTCCTCCATTGCCAGGGAAACCCAAGCCTCCTACTCACTCTGTGTCCAGCTGCCATCTTGGTTGGTTTAATCTGAATGCTCGCTCCTCATTGGCTGGTGGGCATGGCTTGTGGGTGTAGTGATGGTTAATTTGCATGTCACTCTTTTATTAGTGTAGATGTCTTTCCCTATGAACAACTGTAAACCTACCTTTGCCCACCCCTATAAAAATAGTTTCCAAGCACTTTTATACCCATGGATCTCACTCCACTACTACAACTATCTTGGAAGCAGATGCTTTTATTATTCAACTTTTTACAGATAAGACCAATTCAGGGAATTTAATGATGTTACAAAAGCACACAGGCAATAAGTGGCCCAGCACAAATTCCAAAATGGATGCTTTAACCCAAAGGTTTCTATGTCACTAACACATGTGGAATGTGCAGGCATTCACTGCCCTCTTTTTCCTTGTGCTTTCTCCTCCACAGACCAGTTAAATGCAGACCAGACTATCTAACACACATACACAGATATGCCTCTGTCTTATACCTTCAACCACCTTCTACCTTTTCTTCTCTCACATCTTGGACAATTAGTTCAGAGAATAATTTTCCTCTCCATTCTCCATGGCTCTCCTGCTCTTCAAGGCATTTGGGTGTCAAAAAACAAATCTCATCACAGGTGACAATATTAGAAAGATTGCTAATGTTACACTATTGCGGTGGGAGGGAGGAAGCCACCGACTTTGTAACCAACTGCTAAAAATCCCGAAAATTTCTTAAAATCCCCCTCAAAGTCTCTGCAATGGTTATAATCCATCTTTTTAACTTGAAGTTACATGCACATTCTCTTAAATCTCAACCCTCTGGTTTCTAAATAAGTGATAAACTAACATTCAATTCTATTGCCTTTTTATTATGTTTATCGCTTGTATCATAGCAGAACTGCTTTTCACATTTTTCATCACTGATATATAATACAATATTTCACTCTAATAAAAGTAACAGCTTTTTATGGCCTAACCTAGCCATCAGAATATAAGATTATCTTATGTTTAAAAAAAAGTGGTTTTTTTTAAATATCTAATCATTGATCTGCAAATAAAATATTTTAATGCAAATTTAAGTGTCAAAATTTCATAAAGCTTTAATATCAAGGCACTAAACCTGAGCTCAATTCCTACTCCACACACTAGTATTTCTGGCCATGACATAAGGTCATATTTTAGTCAGTAATTGGCTTACAGAATAGAAATAGACAGGGATATAATCCATTGATTCATTCATTATTAATCAATTATTTAATTCAAGGGTGAAGTGCATTGGAGACCATCAAGTCAAATCCCTCCCTTTTAGAAATGAAGAGACAGAGTAAAAGCTTTGCTGCTCTCTGTTGAAGAGGGTAAAAGATCAGACTATCAACTCTACCTCGGACTGTTCTGACTGGTTCTTAACTGAAGACAGATGTTCAGTCGTTTACACATTAGCTAAAATGAGCAAGTTTCTAACTCTGAAGGTGATGGATCTAAAGGATCATCAGCTATTATGTCCCATTTCTGCAACCCTTGGAAATAAATGTTCATACTAAATAGAAAATGAATTTCTGATAACTGAATTAAACGGTTCCTCTAAAGAGCCAACTTTGGATTTCT